AGCAGGAGTACGTGTCACTTCACAATTGACACACTTGGTAAGTCTGAAACGGAAAAAAAAATGCTTTTCAGATAAGAAAGAATCATGATCAAGAAAGGTTTAACACACTTAATCCTTAATCTAAGAAGATATAATGGATTCTTTAGATTGATTAAGAGCTTGAAGTCTAGCCCTGGTCTGTCTCGTGAGCAAATTTCTTTGTCTCTCTAGGCCTTGGTTTCCACAGTTTATGACAAAGAAGATTGAAATAGGATAATCTCTAAAGGCCCTTCCAGCTCCAAAATTGTAAGTAGGGCCAGAAAGTCAAATTTGTTACAACATTTCGGCAGTATTCTCCTAGTGAATATTTGTGTTGCCACCTCACACCACTTTACACCAGTAGATGCCCCATTAGTTTAGCACCCCAGGGTATTTGTATGTTATGTAACAAGATTGGTGGCTGCTGTTTCTGTTTAAATAAAAGACGTTATCTAAGGAGGACAAGCCTGATGCTGTGGTTCAGAGGGAAATCTGAGGCCCCCTGCAGGCCTGCTGTGTGTATGCAGGAGATTGGAAGAGGCACCAGGACTGGGACCAGGAGGCTGGAACCAGCCAGCCGGCCAACAAAAAAATGCGACTTGATAAGCTTCATCAGACCTCCTCCCAGCCAGAAGAGCCAAGCATTGTAAGTCGTTAAGCAAGAAGGTAGAAGTGAAACAAAGAAGTCGAAGGGACTTAAATTCCTCTCTGAAAAGTACTAGCACCTCTAATTGCCCCTCGGGACACATTTACTCAGTGCCTATTAGGTGCAGAATTTCCTATCCTGTAAGGCAAAAAAGAGACGGTGAGATGTAGGGAGAGATGTAGACAGATTTATTCAGATATGGTCTGAGGGCTCATTTTTTAAAACGCTTGGAGTAAAAGGATCTTTGAGAGGTTCCTGGCCTCACAGGCAGGTTATCAGCCGGCTTATCAGTGGCCAATACCCTTCTTCTCAGTGTGAGGCCGAATGCGTTCATTCCCAGCCCTCACAGCCATACTTGTCCAGCCTGCTCTCTCTCCCATGCCATGTTCCCACTTGTTGCCACATGGCTTTCACTATCCTGTTCACTTCCACGTGCTTGTTACAGCCAACTGCTAGCATTTGGCATGATCACGTCGTCCTTTCCTCACCCTGATACTAATCTATCAGCAGGTCCCATCAGCGTTGGCTCTACTTCAAAAACATATTTGCTCTGAACATTTCTGTCTCTGCTGCCACCAGGTTGGAGCCACCAGTATCTCTGGCCCAGAGTAAGCAATAGATCTCCCTGCTTCCAGTCATTCTCTACACAGCAGCTAAATGGTACTTCTTCAAAACAAACTCCTTACGATGACCCATGAGGCCCTACCGACCAGGTCTTCCAACCTCTCTCCTCTTCCCCATTGCTTCTTTGCTCATGCTGCTCCAGGCAAGCTGGCCACCTTTCTGTCTGCAAATACACCAGGCTTATTCCTGTTAGATTATTTGTATTTACTATTACCTTCAACTAGAGCACTTTGCCCTGTTAAAAAAAAACAGACCCAACATAGGGTCACTTCTAGGTAAAGTCACCAACCTGAGCCTTACTGCCCAACCTAACTGTAGTTTCAGCCTCTCCCAGGAGTGGAATTTTAAGTCAATCAGTTTGGAACTTCCAGTGAGGTAAACTGCATTAAGACCTGCTGCTCCTCCTAAGGGAAGGTGACTTTACTGGAAACAATCCCTAATCTAGTTTGCTAGTAACTGTTTGCCCCACCTTCCTGTCTATAAAAACCTT